AAAAGCAAAAGAATTAATTCAACAAGGTTTTCCAAATTCAAAAAATTTTCAACCCAAATCAATTTTAATATCTACTTGGAAAGATGTTCATTCTTATTCAGATAAAGATAATAAGGTTTGAATAATATTGAAAAACAGAATTTTATTTTATTTTATTCATTCAAATAGAAAAATACATTTCAAGTTGCTATTATTAGTGATGGTGTACAAACATATTCTATATTTATGTATGCAAAATTAGAATTTATCTCAGCTTACAGTCCTACAAAATTAGGTCGAGAAGATCGATATGCTGAAGTAGGTTTTACTGATGGTACACCTCAACAGACAACAGTTTTACCTGGATCAGGTGGAGAAGCAATAGTAAACTTAGCTAAGTATGTAAATAAAAAAAATTCTCAATATATATATATATCAATATAATACATAGGGAATCAAATATTGGTAAACCAGGTGTATGGATTTATTTAATTGGAGATCGACGTCATTATGGAAGATTTCGTATACTACCAGCAGGAAGTGATGATGATTATGAACAAGCTTTTGGACCAGTAGAACGTAAGTATAATATAATTTTCTACCAAAAATGTTTATGATTAGAGTGTATTTCAATCAAAATGTTATAATGTATTGAAATTGATTTTATTATATTTTTCTATAGCACCTTATTCATCGAATATGTTTCAACAAGAACGTCATAATTTTTATCATCAACATGCAACATCGTTGTCTACAACAACAATACCACCAGGTACGTATTTATAAAAAAAAAATATTTTATGACCGACAATTTTAATATTAAATTTTAGATGCTGTCGAATGTCAAACATGTTCTCGTAATGCTCAATGTGAAAATCAAGGCAATGGATATTGTTGTCGTTGTCTTTTTCCTTATTTGGGTTCAGGACTTCGATGTGAACGTGCTGGTAAATTTAATTTTTCATTATTATTATTCTTCTATTTTATTTTTCTAAAATGATTTCAATAGAAAATTATCCGGTTGTCGGTAAAATTAATGGTACAATTAATGGTCATAAAATTGATTCAGAATTACAAGGTTATATTTATATTGAAGATGGTCGAATACATAATTCACTTTATAATATACCATTAATTTATTCTAATCTTCAACAATTAATACCTTTATTTAATACAATAAATTGGTTATTTGGTGCAATTCATCGATTTTCAGATCCTATTGAAAATGGTTTTGCTCTTACAGGTTAAATAAAACAAAACAAGACGAGTTCTTTGTTTATTTTATTAATAAATTATGTTTATATATTATAAAATAGGTGGAGTAGTAAATCGTTCAGCATTAATACGTATTTTTGAAGTTGATAATACAACAGAACAATCAATTTTAAATATTGAACAATATTTTCGTGGTATTGAATCAGGTGTTCTTTATGTTGATACTTATATCAATGGTAGTCTTCCACATCCAGAAGGAAATCTATCTGTTACAATAGGAAATACTAATATTAAATATACTAAACGATCATTAGGTTTGTATATAATTTATTTAAAATATTTATAAAAAAAAATATATTGTATAGGTCATTATGATGCAAAATCATTATCAACATATACATTAATATCAAAAATTGATACTAATTCAACTGTTACTTATAATATGAGTTATGAAATTGAAGATAGTTTAACATTTTATGAATGTCTACATAATCCACATCGATCAGCAAAAGAAATTGTTGTATCCAATCATGATAATCATATTTATCATTCAATTGAAGATACAACTATTCGATTTTTTTCTATTAGTAAATTTGGTACTCAAGGTATGTGTTAATATCAATATAATTTAATATATAAAAAAAATAAAAGTACACACCTATTTATATCTAGCTCCCAAGTTTGATCCATGTGATTCATCACCTTGTCATGGTTTTGCTCAATGTATACCAAATTTAGAACAAAATTCATATGAATGTAAATGTAATTCAGGTTTTATTGGTGATGGTGTACGTCGTTGTGATGGTAAAAACTTGAATCATAATAAAAACTAAATATGTATCTTCTTCTAATATGTTTGTTTTCTTTTTGTTTTACAAAGATATTAATGAATGTATTCAATCACCATGTCATTCAAATGCTATATGTACAAATACATATGGAAATTTTACATGTGAATGTAAACAAAATTATATTGGAAATGGATTTTTCTGTAAACCTATTAATAATGAAGGTGAGAAATAAGAATTTATTTTTTTACTATGAAGAACGGAAAGATGATAAAAGAAAAAAAAAAATTTTATTTAGTTGAGACATGTACAACAAAAATTTGTCCACAATTTTCAACATGTATACAAGATCCACATACAAGACAAGCACGTTGTTTATGTAAAGAAGGTTGGCAAATGACTGATGATCATGAAAATCATCTACATGGAAATTATAAATCTATTTGTAAACCAAAACAATGTAATGAATATTATAATTGTGATACAAATGCTAATTGTCTTATTAATGAAAATACACAAAAATATGAATGTATATGTAAACCAGGTTTGTATATTGAAATTCAAATTATAATCAAATAATTGTTTTCTTTATATTGAATAGGTTTTTATGGTGATGGATATTCATGTACTGCACATTTTTGTTCATCCGATGGTGATTGTGGATATAATGCACATTGTTTACCTGATGAACAACGACCAGGTTTTAGTAAATGTGTTTGTGATCCAGGATATCTTAATGATGGTACAACATTTTCTACTTGTGTTAAAGATGGTAATATAATGAAAAGAAAAAATAAAATATATTAAACTTGTTGTTTTATCTTTTTTAGTAGTTTCATGTAATATTGAAAATAAATGTCATATTAATGCTCAATGTGTATATAATGAACGTATAGATCGACATGTATGTTTATGTCGAACTGGTTATAAAGGTGATGGAATAATATGTCGACATGAACGTAAGAAATTTATTTAGACAAAAAAAAATAAAAAATAAATTTTTTTATTTTAATTTTCAATATTAGATTCTTGTGTTGAAAATACTACAATATGTTCACCATCAGCTGCTTGTGTTTATGATTCAATTTTACAAGATAATGTTTGTTCATGTCGAGAAGGTTTTGTTGGTGATGGAATACAGTAAGCTATTTGTTTTTTGTTGAATTAAAAATAATGTTCAATTTGAAATATAGTTGTGCTGAAACACTTGGTGGACCCAAAGAACAATTTTTAATTGTTAATCAAGGACAAACAATTTTAAAAGTACCTTTAACAGCATCGGGTTTAACAACTAATAATGATAATCGTATTCTTTATGTACCACGTAAGTAGAATAAAGAAAAATTCTATTAAAACAATAATAAAAAAAAAAAACACATGATGTATATGTATAAATATAGGAATGCGTGCTGTGGGTATTTCAATTGATTGTCGTCAACAATTTGTTTATTTTACTGATACATCAGGAAAGACAATACAACGAATGAAATATGATGGTAGTGAACAAAAAATAATTCTTAGTGGTAATAAAGAATAAAAAAATATAAATCATAAGAAAATTCGTTTTGTCTAATTATAGGACTTGGAAGTCCTGAAGGTATTGCTGTTGATTGGGTATCACGTTTAGTATTTTGGACAGATTCATTATTAAAACGTGTAGAAGTAGCTAAACTAGATGGTAGTCTAAGAAAAGTTCTTCTTGATAAAAATATTCAAAATCCACGTGGTATTGCTGTGAATCCAGAACTTGGGTTTGTTGAAATAGAATTAAAAATAATATAAAAAAATCAAGATATAATATATTATTTTATTTTTTTTTAAAGATATATCTTTTGGACAGATTGGAATCGACAAAATCCTCGTATTGAACGTGCTAATATGGATGGTAGTGAACGTAAAATTCTTGTTTCTGATAAACTTGGTTTACCCAATGGTCTTTATTATGATCATCATCGTCGAGAATTATGTTGGGGAGATGCAAAAATGAAAACAATTGAATGTGTAAGAGATGATGGATCAAATCGACGTGTAATTTTAGCTGATCAAACAACAATGATATTTGGTCTTAGTGATGGACTTGAATATGCATATTGGACAGATTGGTCAACGTAAATAATTTACATAAAAAAAAAAATTTTCTTTTGAATTCTTTTGTTTTTCGAATATTTAGAAATAAAATTGGTCGAATTGATAAAACACCAAGTCATACACCAGATAGTGTTCTTTTACCATCTGGTGGAAATGGAAAATTATATGGATTGATTGCAGTGAAAAATTCATGTCCAATTGATAGTAAAGAAATCCAAAAGAAATTCATGTGATACCTTTTTTTTATTTGTCTTTTTGTTTTTTAGTTAACAATGTTTGTAGTGAAAATAATGATTGTACGGTTGGTCAATTATGTTTACCAAATTTAAGTCTTCGTGCTAAACGTATTTGTCAATGTGCTGATAATGCTGGTTTACAATGTCTTCTTCGTGAACGACCACCACCACCACCGCCACCTCAATTTGGCTAGACTTTTTTCTTATTTCATATTGTCATTCTTTCTATCATTAGAATAAATGTTTGTCTTTTATTATTATGTAATATTTTCTGATTGATTTTTCTTTTTTTTTTTTTCTTTTGTTCTCATATTCTTTTAAACATTGAAATTTGATAGATATCGCTAGTGATCTATTGAAATTCGAAAGAAATTTTCATTCTTAATTGACGAATGATGACAAGAGAATCATATGCATATGAGTCAGAGAAAACATAACGAAAAAAAAAGAAAGATGATAGTTGGAAGAAAAAAATATTATTGACATTTCTTGCAATACTAAAGGGTACATTAAACAAGAAAAATATATTTTATTCTTTGTATTGAACTTAGATCAATTAATAGGCATACTGTTTTGAAAATGTCAATTTCAGTTTTTAAATTTATATGAAATTCACTTCCGTTTTTTTTGTTTTACTTTAATTTATTCTTTCCCAATGATGAATCTAATAGAAATTACAATTTTAGATGATAATATGAATCAGTTATCTTCAAAAACTGATTTGAATAATTCAAATGATGATAGTACTGAGTCAGATCATTTATCGCCACCAACCAAACGTCATTGTCCATCACCTAATTCTCATTTATCTTTTCCTAATAAATCATCACCCGTTTTAATTGATTTAGTATCTGATGATATTAAAGAAAATAAAGATGAATGTAAATCATGTGGAAAACAAGAAGTATTATTACGAACATTTAATTGTCCATCATTACATGATTTTTGTTTAAATTGTATTTTTAATTGGACAAAAAAACATATTCAGGTAGACGAAATAAAAAACTTTAAATATTTAATAACTTATTCATATTTTATAGACAAAAACACCACCAATATGTTTAGCAGTTAATTGTGGTTATTTATTAAAAAATGATGATCTTGATGATTTACCAATTACTATAAAAGATCATCAAATTCTTCTTCAATTAATTCAAATTAATATAGATAAAAATAATAAAATAGATAATTTTCGTATAAAATGTGATAAATGTGATTTATATATTGATCAACATGATTTTTTTATACATAATAATGAATGTCTAGGACGTTCATTAACAATTCCATGTGAAATATGTTATTGTCCTGTTTTAATGAATGATTATGAACAACATATGTTAATATGTACCAATGATGATAATTCAACATTAGCTAAATTTTTATATAAACATTTACAAAATCCAAATATTGATGAAAAACTTATTAAATCATTTATTTGTTCATGGCAACGAAAAAATCGAAGATCTATTGATATTTATGAAATGATAGAACAATTTAATCAAACAAATGGTATAGTTTTATAATTATTTTAATTCTAATTATATTTATCAATTATTATTATTTTTTTTATTTTTATTTTTTCTTATAAAATAGGTCTTTCAAAAGAAACTTGTGATGTATGTAAAAATACAATACGATCAGATGAATTTTATTTTATTAATTGTTTGGATAATCATTCATTATGTTTATTATGTTATAAACAACGTCTACAAAATCAAGTAAGTTTATTTATGAGAAATCATAGTCATGACAAACATTAAACAATGGAACATATTTAAAAAAATCTTCCGCTCAAAATTGTAATTTTGCTGAGTCCGCTCTTTTCTAACCGTTGAACATTCACTTTTCAATATACAGGGGCAGCGCGAGCGGGGGGAGGGTACCCCCCTGCTTTGAGAATTCTGGTTCAGATTTTCTCCTAATTTAGAGAGATTACTAAAGAGTTTTCTTCGATTTTGGAAAAATAACCGGACAAATTTTAGGCTACTTTCTCCGATTTTTGTGTACCCCCCTCCCCCTTGTTCTGACCTCTTCGCGCCGCCTCTGTCAATATGCATGATTTATCTGTAGATCATGTGTTATTGAGTTTTAGAAAGTTACTCCTTTCGGGAAATTCTGCTCGAAACTAATTCAAATGCAGAATGCTTGAAATAACGACAAAACAATCATAATAAGTGTTCGAAACATTCAAATACATCTGATACGCTCCCGTGTTCTTAATTTCAAACTGATGATTATTTTCTCGAATTGAAAGTAGTAGGAAGTACCTTTTCGTGTGTAGGTATTGAACAAATACAATAGTTGTACTTAAACATTAGGGCCAACATTTAATCCAGATTTCCTTTCTAACAAGTAGACGATTTAAAACTTTTTGAGAGTGTATATCCATAGGATATATTGAATTCACCAGAAACTTCAATAGAACTAACCTAATTTTTAATTAATTTCTTAAAATAAAAGAAATTTATATAAAAAATAGTGTTTTGTTTTTTTTCTTAAAGATGAACAATGATCAAGTATTGACATGTCATCAATGTAGTTATCATTTACAAGATAAAGATTTATCTGAAACTCGTGTATTAACTAATGAAGAAATTCTTTTATTTCAAAATTATCAAAGTAAAAAAGTTTTCGAATTATATAGCAATCTTTATGGTGCAGAAGATACAGATGATATACAACCTATTGTTCAACAACAAAATGATACAATAATAACAAATAATAATGATACAGCTCGTCGTAAATGTGATTTATGTTCAAAACAACATTCATATGGAAATATATTTGTATTACATTGTAATTGTAAAATATGTTATGATTGTTTTGCTAATGAAATGAATCGACAACGAACAACAACAAATGAAATACTTAGTTAGTTGTCTATTTATTTACTTATTTATATTATTAATATGAATAAAAACACAAATATAAACGATTTATATATTTTATTTTTCCTTTTTTTAGTTTGTCTGCTTTGTCGTAGTCCAATAAAACATAATGATTTATCAAATTTACGTTTAGCACCTGCCGAAATTCAAACTATACAATTATATCAACAAGGAAAATTATTTGAATCTGAACATGCAATACATTTTAATAGACAAATAAGTAATCAGGTAAATTTCTTGTACAAGAATTTATTTATTATTGAATTGTCATTTATATAGATAACAAATAATAATAATAATTATAATAATAACAATGATGATTTTGATTTATTATTTTTGGATCAACAACAATGTTTACCTAAATATTGGGCATTACCAATGTTAATAAATTTTTCTCGTCATGTACTCCATCCACAATCAACAGAATATATATTTGTAGCTGATAAATTTCATCAAAGTTGGACAAAATTAAAAAACCAACATGCTGCTCCTGTTCCTGTTCCTGCTCCTCCTCCAATGCCAATACGGCCTCCCCTACCACCACCACCACCATCTTCAGTTTTTGTTCCACCAATAAATAGTTCTCCTCAATCATATTTTCCACCTGGATTATTGCAACAATTCGGTCCTATACAAGTTCCTATTACTAATAACAATATGTCTGTAGCAAACCAACTACCACCAAATCATAATTTTGGAACTTTACCATATTCCTTGCCTCTTGGAACAAACACAATGGTTCATACATCCCAACCACCACCATTGCCACCATCATTACCTGCTCCTTCTTCTGTTCCTTTTCTTCCACAACAAATATATCGATCCAATAATTCCTATGCAAATCCAACTGGTCCAAATCCATTGACTTTAAAGGTTCCAAAAGTGTCTCGTGCACCACGTTCTACTGCCACTAATGGTAATGGTATACCGAATATACTTCAAATAGAACGAATACAAAATCAACGATGGTATAAACAATATTCAGCACATGAATGTGAATTTCGACAAAAATTAGGCAAACAAACTGAACAATGGCTTTTTCATGGTAAATAAATAAATAATTAAATAAATTAATTTGATTCTATATGAATTTTTTCTAGGTTGTGATGAACGATCATCGAAAAATATTGAAGTCGAATGTTTTAATCGTTCATATGCTGGTCAACATGGTTAGTTAAATCTGCAAAGAAAGAAGATAAATAAATAATTCTGGATTAATTTTCGTTTTTGTTTTTAGCTGCAGCTTTTGGACAAGGTTGTTATTTTGCACGTGATTCATTGTACAGTCATAGTTATGCATTACCTGATCGTAATGGTATTCGACGAATGTTTCTTGGTAAATAATTGTTATATTATACGATATAAGATTTATGTTTTTATCTATTAGCTCGAGTTCTTGTTGGTAATACAACTCAAGGAAATTCCGGTATGCGTGTTCCACCATCTGGTTACGATACTACTGGTGATGGTCAAGGTATTTTTGGTATGTTTTAATAATCATTTTGTCTTTTTTTTTTTAATGTAGTATTGGTTTTAAATTGCCTTTTTGTTGTTTCATTTTTTTCTTTTAGTAACATATCATGATTCACAAGCTTATGCTGAATATTTGATAACTTATCGGTGATTAGAAATTAGAAAACAAAAACAAAATAAATAAATTCTGCTTGTTGTATATATATATAACTTCTTTTTGAAATAATAGATGAAACAATCAAATCAGTAGATGGATTTTTTTTGTTTTTTTGTCTGTTATTTCTGCTTTCTTTTTTTTTTTCAAAATTTTTGTTAACTATTTGATATTAAACAAGAAAATAAGTATATGAAAAGAGAAGAAAAAAAAAACGTTTTTTGTGAAAGAAGTAAACCCATTTTATGAAAACTTCAATGAACAACTCCGGAAATATTGCGTAAGTGAATAATTTTTACACTGTACTGTTTGACTTATTTTAATGTATATATAGATATATATATATACGAATAAAGCATCACTGAATGATCAATAGTCTTTATTTTTTACTCATATTAGACAGATTTTTAGATAGTAAAAGCTTTTCGTTTCTGTTATTGCTTTTGATAAGTACGTCAAGGTTTAATGATCACATATACAAAATAGATATAAGTGAAGAATAAACAGAAAATGTACAAATGACAAGATTTACTATAAAAAAAACTAAACACCTGAAAAAATCATTAATACAAATCGCTTAATCACTAAGTACATTTTGATTTATAAATGGATACTTCAGAGTCTGATAAATCACGAGTATTACCAGAAAAAAATCAAAAACGTTCATCTTCTAGCAGCAATGCACCGAATTCGACACGACCTCTTCGTTTTCTAATGGCTCATCAACGATCATCACGAAGAAGTAGTAATGCTGGTTTTGTTCATGAAATGGAAAATATCGACAATGAACCAACATTGTCTGTTCCTTCATCAAACTATGGTTCTTTAGAACATATACAATCCTTTAAACCTTTATGTAAACCGGATGATAAATCTCTTCCAAAAAAAGTCAGGTAGTTTCATATAAAGAATTCTACTTTATTAATAATATGTTTTAACTGAATATTTTGATAATGTGTTGTTATTGTTGTTGAAATGAATCATTTCAATATTTAAAAATATATGTGATTTTATTATTAAAAAAAAATGATAAAAATATTTGTTAAATAAGAAAATGAATAATATTCTAAAAATTTAAAAATACATTAAAATTGAAAATTGATACTTCGCGAAATATTTTTTCTATGAAAGAAAAAGTAGATAAAGATTAGTGGAAAGAATTTGAATTGATTTACTATTTCATATTGAGTTTCTTAATTTAGAAAAAAAAAAGAATAAGTAGAGAAATTAGATAATATTTAACGAATGAGATAGAGTCTGCTATATTCTAAGTATGTTTTCATTGATTTTAGAGAATTTTATGAAGATCAATTGGACTTAATAACATCTATTGAAGATATTCTCTTACCAAAAAGTGATGAAACTAAAGATCATGACACGGCTTATCAAAAACGGCATAAACGAACAATAAAACTGTTGGTTATGATAACTTTAGTCACCAACATTGTCTGTTGTTTTTTTGAGTATCAATCTGACTAATTATAATTAAATTCTTCTTTAAAGATTCTTGTCATTATCAAAATAGTTGGTGCAGTAATATCAAGATCACTTTCGGTTATTTCTTCAGTTGTTGATAGTATTGTTGATCTTTTAACTAGTCTAATTCTGATTTGGACAGCTCGAAAAATTAAAAAACGAGATGCTTATAAATATCCTGGAGGTTATTATTATTATTTGTGTTTTTTTTATAAAATATAATGATAAATTACGACGTTGAGTTTTTTTTTCTATAGGACGAACACGTCTTGAACCAATATCAATTGTTATTCTATCTGTAATAATGTGTTCAGCAAGTGTACAAGTTATTTTTGAAAGTGCCGAAACTTTAGATCAAGACATTGAATATTTCACACATCAACATAATGCTTCATCAACAAAAACGTTACCACATTTAGACATGAGCATAGTACCTATAATAGCTATGGTTCTTACGATTGGTAAATTTCATTTTCTTTATTATTTTATGAAAACATAATATGTTCTCTAATTTCAAGTCTCTAAAGCAGTTCTATTCGTCTTATGTTATCGAATTAAAAATCCAACAATGTATGCATTAGCAGAAGATAGTCGAAATGATGTAGCATCGAATATTGTTGCACTTGTTTGTGGACTTATTGGTATGATTTATTTATTTTTTTTGATATTATTCATAATCAAAATCGATGAAATAAGATTTAATGTATATGTTTTCATAAATTTATAAAAACAAAAATTATAAAGTTATTTGAAATGTATATATATTTATATTGATTTATTTTTAGGTTCAAATGCTTTGCATGGTAAACTCAAGAAAGAAGCTATTGTAGTCGATCCAGTTGGTGCTATTCTTATTTCAGTGTATATTATTATTGCTTGGATCTTGCAAGCAAACAGTAAATAACAATAGATTTTCTTTTGATTACAATAGCTGAATTGAATTATTTGTTTTTAAATTTCATTTACATGTTTAAAATAAAATTTTTAGTTGATTCTATGATCGTTTCTATTTTTTTTCTTATTCGTAGGACAAGTACGTCGTCTATCAGGTCTTACGGCTGAACCTTTTTTTCTTCAACGACTTACTCATGTCGTTTATAATTATCGTCCTGATGTTGTCAAAAAAATTGATTGTATTCAAGCTGCTCATCATGGTACGAATTTTTTTGTTGAAGTTGATATTGGTTTACCAGGATCGATGCCACTTGCTATGGCTCATGACATTGGTGAAGAATTACAAAATCAATTGGAATCTATTAATGATATTGAACGAGCTTTTGTTCATCTCGATTTTGAATTTTCACATATGCCATCTAGTGAACATAAAGTCGTTTAATTTTTATTATTTTTACTTGTATAATCTCATATCAAGAATATTCTATTTTAATTCATATGATAATAAATCAGCACGACAATAAAATATTTTCAATTGAAATCAAAATTTTTCTGAATGCCATTGACTTCCTTTTATAATCATCAAACTTTTGTAATTTTTTTTTTCGAAGAATTCTGATTTTTTTGAAGTCGTCGAAGTCAAAAAAAAAATAATCAATATATTGAATCATTTATTGCCATACTTGAAATCATACAATTTCAAATGCTTATGAAAGTTAGCACATTCGTCTCTATTCATAATAATCATCAAATGACATGATTTTATTGTTAATAATTTTGTATTGATATGAGTTTTTATTTTTTTGCGAAAAATTCTTCTGTATCTATGATTAGTAATGAATAAATATAACAAAGATTAATTGAATTCTACATAACTTCTATCGATTCATTATTAATAAACTTATCCGAATTGACTTGTTTCTTCAAAGATATATGATATACTTTTATAATATTTCTATTTCATATATTTTCTGTCTTGATATTTTGTTCTTTTAAATAATAAAAAAAAAAACAACAACAGCAACACATAAATCAACCAATTATCATAAATAAATCGCAGTGTTTTTTCCTTTTTTAAATATTTACTCGTTTTCTTTTTTTTTTTATGATGGAAAGAAGCTTTTGTCAGTTATTTGATATTACAGAAAAAAAAACACACAAACATATATAGTAGAACGAAAAAAGAAAGAGAGCAAGAAATTGTATCATTCCAAGACGAAAAAAAAGAAGAAGAAGATTCTATACATACAAAAAAACGATTTTCTTTCCGTATGTCCAAATAAAGAGACAGAAGAAGAACATACAAGAGAAAAAGAATAAGAAAAAACATGAAACAACAAAAAAAAATAAAATAAATTAATTAACTAAATCATGGAATTTGGTCGAGTAGTTACATGTGATGTTTGTTTACAAGGTTCAGATGTTTGTCGTGATGCAATAACAATAGGATTTGATTTATTTGGAGATCGTGTTCGCATAAGAACTATAGGATTTGATGATGATGAACGTTGAACAGGTATATTTGATGTATTTTTAGTATCAATTGATGATGATGATGATATTGTCTGTATAGGTACTGTTTTTTTTCCAATTGTTGTTGTAATTGTTTGACTGTCATTTAATTTACTTCGAAATGTTTTACTAAAATACATAATAATAATAATAAATTTTCAAATTTTTAATTATTTTACTTTGCCGCAAGTATTCCTTCATAAATAAGTAATTGATTTCTAAAACCACCATTTGGATTGATACATGATCGTCGTTTTTTTACATGTTCCAAAGCATCAGCAAATGAATGATTGTTTTCTTTCATAAGATATGCTAATACCTAATTTCAACAAACAAAAAAAAAAAATAGATTAATTAATGAATTTATAACTAATTATTTATTGTATTTTTTTTTTTGTCTTTTGGATATTTTACCGTCGATGCAGATCGACTAATACCCATCTTACAATGAACTAAACAACATTGATTATTAGCTCTATAAAAAGGAAAAATAATATATATATATAAAGTTTCTTTTTAAAGAATTTAATAATTATACTTTGCTTCATTTATAAATCGAAATGTTTTTTCCCATTCTTTTAATAAATCTGCATCATCCTGATCATGTACACGAACATTTAAATATTTAAAATGACCAGGAAAAAAATTATCTATTTCTCGTGAAACATTTAATACATAACCAATATTATTTGCTTTTAATTCTTCAAAATTTGATGCATTCCATTCTGAACCAAGATATAAATATGGTAAAATCATTGTTGGTTTATCCATTTGAGCAAGAATTTGTAACATAACATCATCAATATACTGTTTATAAGGAGATAAAGACATTTGAAAGGCATTTTCTAATTGTTCACGTAACTTTAAAAAAAAACGAAATATTTAATTTTACAAAAATTTCAAAAGAATAAAATCAAACATTAATTAATTTAACTTACAAATTTCGATGTCACTTCATCAAGATCAACTTGTAACATAATTTCTTTTAATTTAACATGTATTCTAGCACGAAGTGTTTCTTCATCTGACGATAATCTAAAAAAAATACCAAAAACAAAAATATCTTTTTCATTTAGATATATATATATGCAATATTGTTTTTGATAATATACGGTTGATATAAATGAGGTGAATCACTACGATGTGATAAAATATCATCCATTTGATTCCATTCATTAACATAAATTTGATTTGAACGTATATCTGGATTACGATAATATTCAATCCAACTATGTGTTATACCATTATTAGCTATATAATTATAAAGACGAGCTTGATTTGATGCTTTGTGCAAACTCTGATAAGCAGTCCTATAAAATTTCAATATTTAATTAATATATAAACAAAAATAAATAAATAAATAAATAAATTTTAAATAATTACCACAGAGCTTGTACGCTCACCGGCTTGAAAATATGACATCGATCGTACGAAGTTAATTTAAAACCACTAAATAAAAAAGAAAAAAAGTTTTTTTCTATAATATAAAATTTTCCTTATGTAGATTAGAAAATTTCCTATGTGTTATTATGTATAATAATATTTGAGGAAAAAGAAACTTATCACCTAATTTCAAGGTTTAGCCTTTTTTTTTTCTTATCAAAATTCATAATATTTAAAGTTATCGATAAAAATCCAAAGAAATTTACCCATCACCGTCGAGTGATATATCCAAATCGGCCCATATTGGTAATGTCATACCGATTGTAATCTCATTTGTACCAACATCGAAACCAAGAATAGCCGATCTATACAATAAGTAAATATTTTTAATTATTAATAAATAAATACTAATCATATTTTCTTTTTACTCTTCTGTTTCTTGTCTTCCGACACATGTAACAATGACTAGGTAACGAAAACGATTTGGAAAACCACTTTCCAATTGGACCATCTATTTAAATATATAATTGTAAAGAAAAAGAAATTAAAATATTAAAAAAAGAGTAGACACAAACCAAGGTAAGACGATCGTCGGGTCGCAGCAGTTTATACATCGAGTCAAGATGTGCACGTAAATTTTCTTTAGAACAAAAAAAAAAAACTTTCTTCGATTAGTAACAAAATAAACACAGCCATACCTGCATTGCCCGCAACGATCCTTGCCAGATGACGGTCAATAATGTGAGTAGTTGCGGCGGCGATCTTTGGCAAACTTAAATTTTCATTATTAGAAGATAAAATAATTGATTTATTTGATGATGAACTAGACATAAAAAGAAAATAATTAATGCCAAAAAAAAAAAAAAAATTCGAACTCATTTCAATGAAAACTATAACATTATTTCTCCATTCTTTTCTTTTTTTCATGCTTTTATTCACTTATATACTATCATAATTGACATTTCAAATGGTATTATGTTCATTCAATTCGAATTCAAGAAAAGAAGAACAAGAAGAAGAAGAAGAAAAAATGAAAACGACCGTATTCCTTTGACTCTACTCATAACATCTCACCTTGTCGTCATTGGAGGTGTAATGATTGAAGAACAAAAAAAGAAAAAGATTTTGGAGAAGAAAAAAAAAAAAAGAAATTCTTTAATATGTTATATTCATGAATGATTATAAGTTTGAATACATGAAAAAATAGGTAAATGATGATTATCTCGTTTTTCTATGTACTTATTTAATGATAAACAAGTAAGAAAACCTTGCATGAAGATTATAATTCATTAATTATACAAGTAAAATAAATACCCTATGAAAAAAAAAACGTACGAAAAAGAAAAGCGATAAATATGATAATAGATAACTATCTTTCTTTTTTTTTTTTATGTAATCATCAAAGATAAATACGAAGATACCTTAATTGAAATTTGGAATGTGTTTCGTTATTAATCAGTATTGTCAGTTTTGAATAAATTTATAAAAAATACATGAAAATAAAAAGGCAATAGGGACGGATAGATTAGTAAAATCTAAAATAAATATTTCAAAAAAAAATAACTTGTTTTTTTATTGACAAGTAGTGAACTTGAACTTTTGTTATGTTTATTATATGTATATACATATATATATATGTTATCGTCGAACAGGTCTCCAATCATGTTGATACTGACAAGATGAGATGATGATGAAGAACGAATAAGAAAGTGGACAGTTCAATACGATACATACTACCATAAAAGGAAGATGGGCAGTCAGAATAGAAATCAAATGAATCTATACGATGTCAGCTGATGTACTGACAGATGTCGTATGATGTTGGGAGTAATAGACAAAAAAAACACATAGACATATACTGTGTATCCAGCATGCCTGGTGACTAGTGGCGGAGTCAGGGGGTGGCTCAGCCCTCCTCAGAAACCTTTGAGCCCCCCCCCCCAGAAAAATTTGTAAAGCATGTATTTTATTCACCAAGGGGGCTGAGCCTCCATCAGCTCAAAATCTTGGCTCCGCCACTACTGGTAACATGAAAATCAAGATTAAATCTTCAAACAAAAAAAAGACTCTAAAATTAATAATAGGACAATGACTTGAAATGAGGAAATAAATTTCGCAAAAAAAAAAACTCTAACTCACATTAATGGGAAAAATAATTTTCTGTTGTTTTTATATTGGAATATAGTGAAGAATAAATACAGTGACGCAGGATGCAGAATTCTTTTTTTTTTTTCAATGAAAAAGAACTAAGGAGGGTGTACATCTTTCATTGCTACATATCTCTGATAACAAAAAGTTGTTTATCTATGAAAGAGATATTATATATTTTACTATGAAATGAAATAAAGTGTTTAAAATATATAAGCGTTTTTCATTTGAATATTTATGAATTGAAAAAAAAAACTTTCAACGAAATATAAAACGCTGCCTTTATTTGATAAAGCGTTGTATTATGGTTTCAGTCAAGATATATGTAAATTAATGAATATTTTACAATTTTCATTAAATTTTTTTACGTTAAAACTTTTGAATTTCTTGTTCAATACTTTTATTGTGCTTTATTTGATAATCATTTAAATATTCTTTATCGTTTTCGTTTTAAAATATCGAATACAGAACTAACGAGGGAAGGTCCCCAAGTGATTCACCGCTTGTGGCTCCATATTTTGCCCATAATTAGGAGTCTTGTAGACTAGAAAAAGCCTAAGAGGATATGGGCCCATATTGTGATTTGGCTGAGATACTCAAGTTTTACCCAAAATTCCCTGTGGGACCTTGATCTTCCAGCAAAATCGTATTTTCGAATTTTGAGCTGAAACTTTGCCCAGATAAAGCCCTCAATTAGAGCAGCTTGTAAAAAAAATTTCAGTACTTTTGGCCGTACTATTACCCAGATATGAATTTTTCAAAGTATTGATGTTTTATACAATATCAATCGAAAAGCGCCTGTATTTTGGAAAATTCATATCTCAGTAATACTATGTCCAAAAGTACTGAAATTTTTTTTACAAACTAGTCTAATTGAGGGCTTTATCTAGGCAAAGTTTCAGCTGAAAATTCGAAAATATGATTTTGCTGGAAAATCAAGGTCCCATAGGAAATTTTGGGTAAAACTTGAATATCTCTCAGCCAAATCGCAGTATGAGCCCATATCCTCTTAGGATTTTTCTAGTCTACAAGATCTCTACTTATGGGCAAAATTTGGAGCCAAAAGCGGTGAATCACTTGGAATCCTTCCCTCGTAAGTAAAATATTATAGTTTTCAGATAATTTACATTGTGATGAGTGATTACTAACATTATAATCATTGATTAATTGAACTTTTTCTTATCTAACATCAGATAATGTTGTAATGTCTTTGCTTTTCCTTAATATGAACAGTTAATAGTTTTAGTACATTTGCTAGAAATGACCAAGATGAAAAGGAGCAAAAAGAAAACAATTGCACATGCATTCATTTAACAGAGGTTAAAATAGTAATTGAGATTTTAAAAACAATGTTTAAGTAGGACTTCTAGAATTGTTTACTTATGCAAGATGTTTATTAATAGAAGTTTCAATGTATAATTGTCTATTACAAATACATTTTAATCTATAATTTTATGAATATATTTTTATTTTCTTCAGTTTCACAAATTTTCTTTCGGATCAAGACAATCCGAACGATTGAGTAAAACTGTTTCAAAAGCATGTGCTTCTATTTTTGTATGCGTTTCACAAAGTCCACTATATCTATTAAATAGAAAAGACAAAAATAGAAAAAAAAAAAGAAGTATGACAACTTTTGTATACATACATAACACTATCTTCAAGTGATTTCAAACGAAGACGTGAAATAACTATTTCATTACCTTTTTCAGCACCCCATCCAAAGACTAAAGTAATATAAAACATATGTTTTCATCATATACATTTTAATAAATATACATACAATTCTTTGCTTTATTAAAATGCACAATAGCATAATCAACTTTACCCAAATCAGTTTTATAACTGAATACATGACGAAATATATCACCTGGTTTTATATCAGTTTTCGATCTTTATAATTATATGAATATTGAATTAGATAATTTCATTTTTTTTTAAACTTACTTCATAGTCATACTAACATTAGTTAATATTTCATAATTTGAATGAATTGAAACATAAATTTCACCACTTGTTGCAATCATATCTCGATTGAGTACAAGTTCAATCAAATAATGATTACCTATAGATTGAGATAAGTAAAAAATAAATCGATAAAATAAAAAATTGAATATAAATTCTAACCACAAAATGGTGAAGTATTCTTTGTTGATAAATACATATTACCACGACCAAGTGAATAAACCGAATAAAAACCTTAACGACAAATAAAAACAAGCACAAAAATTAACTATTCATTATATCAATAAAAAAAAAAAACATTATTTTCAATACCCATTTGAGCACAACCTGATGTTGAACATGCAAGACATTGACCATTGACAAAACTATTCTAAATAGAATAAAATCATGAAAAGAAATAGAAAAGTAATTCTTTTTTTTTTTTCGTTTTTACATAATCTTGACATGGAAAAGCATTATATCGGCATTCTGAACTAGAATAGAAAAGAAAAAAACAGAAAATTGTTCTAATTAATTTCTATCAATAGATATATACTTGATTGATTCAGTAAAATAGCCATGTGAACGACCTAAATATAAATATAAAATAATTTTCAATTTACTTATATTTTTGTTTTTAAACTTACCATGTGAACATGATGTTTGTTCATAAATAGCTATTAAATAAAATTATATTTATTTTAAATATTTTTCAATTATTTTACCTTCACTATGACCATGAATTACATTACCAAGAAGTGAAAGCCTTTTGAAAAAATAAAATAATATTAATATTGAAAGAAGAACAAAAAAAAAAAAAGTTCCTTCTTCAATAAATATTTACACTGAAGGACAACCTGGTTGATGTTGACCACCATTAGCATAAAAATCTACATGTCCTGATGATTGACTTGATCCAAGACCAACTCCAAAAGCAATATCTGTATTTGTATGAATAACATCAACAAATTTTGCATCATTTTTATCAAGACGAACAAGTACATCTTTTCCTTCAAATAATGGACCAGCTGGATCAAGACCAGAAATACGAGCCATTTGATTATCAATTATATTTGATGCTAAAGAACATGTATGTGCACCAAGACTATGTCCTAATAAAAATATAAAAACAATAATAATTAATATTTCTTTTCTTGATATTAACGAACCAATACAATGAATTTTATCATATGAAAATCCTTTCATATTATGTAATTTTTGTAAAAGTAAACCAATTTGTTTACCAACAAGACGTGTATTTGAAGCAGCATTTGTATATAATGGAAATTTAGCACCATGACCCCAATCAACAACAAGTACATCTGATAATTCATTCTAATTATATTCATAAGAAATAATTTCAAAAACTAGAAAAAAAAACTAAAACTAAAACTAATTTTTACATCTTTTAATTTTAATAATTCATCTTGAAGTGGTTTTATCCAAATACTATTTCGATTATTTGTAAAACCATGAACAATAATTCTTAACCATCGAGAAGAATTAAGATTTGATTCTATAATTGATTGATCATTACTATCATAGACAAGAAATTCTGGTGTTGTAGGAGCTTCTTGTGTAAATAAAAGAAATTGTGTACTAATATGTTCAGGTGATTGAGGTACTTCTAAACCAGCATTATTATATGGTTCATTATTATCAAAACAGCCAACAACTGGATAACACACTGAAGTATTAGTTTTATTTGCTGTTACTGGCGGTATATTAGCTCGATTTATTGTTGAAAATTGAGGAAGGATAGGTACATTATTAGTTGATATAACATCGATAGTAAGTGGTTCATTAACAATAGACTCTGATTGAATAAGTCGACCATTGACGAATATAATGCAAAGTGCAATAAGCAAAAAATATAAACCTCAATAAACAAAAACACAAGAATCATATAATATATATATATACATGTTACATTTTTCTTCAATATTATAAATCATCTACGATAATAAAATTAAACTCACAAATAGTAGTTATTTTCAATTAAAAATTGAATTCAATTGTTCAAGAGTTAAGTATAATTTCATTTCGTAGTAAGTTAACATATTATTCTATTCAGTATTTGATCGAGATTTTAGACATCCTTTAAAATTTTGAAAGGGCAAAAACATCTAGTTTTGGAAGTACAGACACATAGTTCGTAATACAAAAGCTAACCTGATCTTCCAGTGAGCACTGCTTCATTAATTGTCTCACTGGATAGAATATTTGTTCTATTTATCTAACGATATTTTCTTGAAATTTTACGATAAAGACATCTGTAAATGATAATTATTTTTTTAGAAATAAAACATATTAAAAACCTTTGTCAAAATTATAACAATTATTTTATTATGTAAAAATTTCAAAATAAAAATAATAATTATATATTTAATTTTAATTTCTAAAATATTTTAATTTTTTATCTTAAAATAAATTATAGTGAAAGATGAAATACAATCTTTTTTCAAATTATAACAAAATAGAATTCAATAATGATATTCATGTCTTTAATTCACTAATATTTATTCAATTTCACTTCGAAAATCTATTCGATTTAGAATAAAGTATTCATTATCTATAATTCACATACCGGTTTCAGAATGCATGATGATGAATGGCGATTAACCGAAAACTAATGTGCATAGTATTAATCGTTAGGTTTAAATTGTTTTTAACTTTAAAACAAAACAAAAATAACATTTGGTTCCATTCTCATGCTATTTTATACAGAATAACTTATCTAGATCGAGCAAATATCTTTTCTCTATTATCACCTGACACGATGATATTTTACTCCATCATAATGACCTAATATGTTTTTTTTTTTAGATTGAAGACTCTTACAATCAGCAATACTTTGCCAATACTACAACCGATTTCATTTGTTTCCTTTAACTCAGTGCCCTTTGGCAATATTAATTGACAGTAGAAAAAAAAAATATATATATATATAGAAGTTTAACTTCACTACTTATATAACTCTGAGCGGTGCATCAACAATGATGTACAATTGCGTCAGCTGAAAAATTTGTTTTATACTGCGCTCATGCTGACAAATGTCTATTAATATTTTGAAGTATGATAAATATCAATTATTTTATTCACAGATAAATAAAACAATGCTTCTCAGATCGAAACGAACGTATTTTCGTTGTATTCACCTTAATTCGAATTATTATCCACAAGAATATTTAATGTTTGCAATATTATCTCATATCTAACCGTCTAACAGTGACATCTTTTCTTATCGGACATAGACATATATGTTGTGTCTCCATAATGAAACAAACTCTTCAGATCAAGAAATTGCGAATTTACATTATTCAGTTTTTCTTTTGTTGTTTTTTCTCCCCGATATTTGCCTCGTCATATAAATTCGATTGTGAAAGAAGGAAAATTATTCATTACAATTCATAATGTCGTACATGGGTAGTAGTTCTACAAATGAAGATGCCAGTGGAAATATCTGGAGTTCCGGATCCCATGGGGGTAAAGTCGAATACATATTATTTATATAAATTAATAAAACGAAAAAAAAACAACTATATGAATTTTTTTTAGGTTCACGTACAGGTTATTCACATTCAAGCAATTATGACGATAATCGTCCACAGGAAGGGTAGGTTTCATTATATAACATAAGTATTTATTTTTTTGCTACTGATTCATAATACAATTAAAATTATTATTTTTCATTTCTCTTTGAAATAATACGCTTTGATATTGATATATATATATATACACATATACATGAAACAAATATAAAAAAGAACTGAACATAAATATCTTTTTTGGAACAAACAATTATATAAATTTCTATATTATTTATTCGCATATAAATACAAGTAATTGAATATGATTATAAAAAAAAAAAAAGTAAAGTACGAAATTGATATGATGGGTAAACGTATATAGATATTTAAAAAAAAATAACTTGAGGATATTTTTATCTATACATGATGTTTGATGTTTTTTATTTTTGATTTCTATCTTACTATAGTGGATCTTATCGTGGGTCATTTGGAAATAATAATTCAAGTAAGATATATATCTATATATACCCATTGCATCCACTTTATATTATTAATTTTAAATACAGTAGAAAAAAAAAAGATGTCATATATTAAAAAGAAAAAAAAAAAGAATTAAATTGAATATTTGATGTTGAAAAATATATTTATTCTACTTATTATTAAACATGAATAAAAAAAAAAATCTCTCTCACTCTGTCTCAAGTATACTTTGGGATTTATTTAAGTTTGATAATATTTCATTGAAAAAAACAACATTTTGTTTTTTTTGTAATTATATTAGGACGAGATGGTGGTGGTGGTGGTGGTTATGGATTTCGACGACAAAATAATGATAGAGGAGAAGTTGAAATTCAAACTGATACAATATTTATTCAAGATTTACCGAAAAGTATTACACGAGATCAAATTCTTGATATTTTTTCAACGGTTGGCTCTATTAAAGTAAAATATTATTGGTTTTAGTTTTTTTTTTTAACTATTCTTTTTTGTTTAAGATTGATGACCGATCAGGTGGTCCAAAAATTTGGATTTACAAAGATCGTGATACAGGTGAAGCAAATGGTCGAGCTACAGTAACTTATGAGGATGATGAAACTGCTAATAGAGCTATTTCACAATATAATGGTAAACTTCAATTTATTTGATTTTTATTTCAATGTTTTTTGGATTTTGTTTATTATTCAATAGATCAACATATTGACTCAATAGGTACAGCTGTACGTGTGCAATTAGCACAACGTCGTAATCGAAATAACAATGATCGTGGTGGTCGAGGTGGTGGTATGTATTCATTTTTTTTTCGCTTCTCATGTATATTTTAATGAAATTTTTTAAAAATATAAGGCTACCGTGGTGCACGAAGTAATTGGAATGATAATAGTTCTCGTCAAAATTATGGTTCAGGTGGTGATCGATGGGCTAGCTCAGGAAAAGGATTTTCCAATGATCGTAGTAGTGGTAGTGGTAGTGGTGGTGGTGGTGGTTTTCGTAGTAAGTTATTACCATGAAAAAAATTTAGAATAAAAAAAAAAAACTAATGTTATGAATAGGTATGGGTGGCGGCAGTAGTTCATTTCAAGATGCAGATGATCGTGGTAGGTTGATAATTGAATATGTTAGAATCATTAATTTTGTTTTCTTTCAGGCAGTTCATATCGTGGTAGTCGTAATGGTTCATATCGCGGTGCTAGTCGCGGTAGTGGTGGTTCATCAAGTTATTCACCATATTAAAAACAACAAACGAAAACACTCATATGAAGACATAAAAAAAAAAATAAACAATATATTCTCTTGTATTATTTCTATGCTCTTATGCGTATCATACTGTCTTCTTTTGCATAGAATCCTATTCATATTTGTTGTTGTTTTTTCATTTATTCATAACTATTACAGACAAAAATAAAAAGCCAGCCTCAAGTTCTTAATATAAAAAAATGTCTATTTATTTGCTTGTGCTAAACGATAATAATATCCTTTGAGAGTTAATAATTCATCATGTTTGCCAGATTCAACTATATGACCACGACGAAGAACACAAATACGATCAGAATTTTGTATTGTTGATAAACGATGAGCTATAACAATAGTTGTACGACCTTTTGATATTTGATCAAGTGCTTCTTGTACTATACGTTCATTTTCTGTATCAAGTGCACTCTAAATCAAATTAGAAATCAATCGAGATGTATATATATATATATATGAATATGTAGTGATTACTTACTGTTGCTTCATCAAGTAATAATACTTTTGGATTACGTATAAGTGCTCGAGCAATCGCTAAAACAAACATAAAATACAAATTTTATTTTTGTAAAAAAGTTTGATTTTGTTTTTTTTGTTACCAATTCGTTGTTTTTGACCACCTGATAATTGTGTACCTTTTGAACCAACATTTGTTTCATATTGTTGTGGTAGACTTATAATAAAATCATGAATATTAGCATTTTTCGCTGCTTCTTGAATTTCATCGAAAGGTACTTCTCTTGATGTATCACCATAAGCAATATTTTCTTTAATTGTTGCATCAAATAAAATTGGTTCTTGACTAACAAAACCAATTTGACTTCTCCACCATTGAAGATTTAAAGTTGATAATTCATTTTCATTAATTAACTAAAATATATTTTTGTTTTGTTTTATAATTAATATTTAGAATAACAATTCTAGAAGTACTTAAATAGACGAATGTAGTTAACTGTGATATTAAGAATGAATGTCTCAATAATATTCATTTACAAAACTATTTAATCCTTCTATTATGAGATTCGTATATTGAGGGACTAACCTTTCATGTAGATTATTACTTTGACTATGTTGTCTTTTTGTTTGACCATAGAGTATTCTCTCTTTTGCTTTTGCTTTTAGTATAGCAAGAACATTATATGATATTAGTCTACATGTATATCTAGTGAAGAAAAAAAAAGGAATGTGAATTTAAAAATCTATGAGAATCCACAGAAGTTATTTAGTTACCCAAAAATCATTCAAACCACTATGTAATCAAACAGATATTAGAATCCTACAATCATTATTGCTCGAGAAAAGTGTGATTATTGTTGAAGTTCTAATTTTATAGAAGATCAGACACTCAATTTTATTAGATTTATATTATGATAAGAAAACACAGAGTTATTATTCATGGAGAGTTACACGAAAGATTTCTAAAGGTTTTGGACAACTCTACTCTGTAAGTACTGAATTTTCAGCAGTGTCACATATCCAAAATTTTGGAGATGCATCCACGTCTAGCGCGGGAGATGCGGCATTTACTGCGAGAGATGTGAGTGTGGGTGTGGGGGGATGTGCATCTCTAAATGAGATGATACATCTCCAGTGGAAAATGACCGCGTCTCCCGCGAGAGATGCGGCATCTCCTGTGAGAGATGTTGGCGCATCTCCAAAATTTTGGATATGTGACACTACGCTGAATTTTATAGTATTGACTGCAGTTTAACACAATCCGCTATTTTTCATGAATATACATATACACAATTCCAGATTTCTATGAACCAATTCATATTTTTTATCATTTTTGGAAAAATTTCGTAAACAAAGGTTTAAATAATTCTTTTTCTTTTTCTGTAAACAGATATTGTCAAAGTAATTCCGCTCATTTCATTAAATATTTATTTTGAAAAATAAAAAAATTATTTTGTTAATATTTTTAAAACTTACTATTTGTCCACCTGTTGGATCATAAAAATGTTCAAGTAATTGAATAATTGTACTTTTTCCACAACCAGATGAACCAACAAGAGCAACTTGTTCATCTAAATTAAACAAAATTTAGATATATATTTTCCTACAGGAAAAAAAATAACCGATTCTTTCATACAAGGTGCAATTTTTAAATTGAATTTTTTTAAAACTTGTACTTCTTGTCGATTTGGATAATGAAAATCCAAATTATTTAAATCAATTTGACCATTAAAATTTTTCTATTAAAAAAAAAGTAAAAAGAATACAAGAAAATCAAATATATTTTAATATTATTATTGTACTAGTTCTTTTCCAACAGTCGAAGAATTGTTAATTGTTGGTCTACGATTAAATAGAATCAAAATTTTTTTTGATGATGCCTAAATCATCAACACAAGTTGTTTTTTTATTATTATTATTTAAATTCAAACATACGATTGCTTTTGAATAATCCGGTGACATTGATGCAGTTTGACCAACCTTTATGAAACAAAAAAAAAAATAAAACAATAAGATTTAAATATATTCATTTTTTATGAATTGACTTACAGCCATTGCACCGAAAAGTATACAATTCATTACACTAAATTAAATATAAATAATGTATTTATATCTTTATGAATAAATTTTATAGATTTACAGCATAATATTTTCAAAGCTAGAAAATAAAAATTTGATTTAATATATTTTTAAAAAAATAATAAATAATAACTTACGTCATTGCTCCTTGTTCCACTCTCCAAGCACCAAAAGTAAATAAAGCTGCTTGTGCAAAAAACATAATCTTTAAATAATGAAATCAAAATTATGAAAGTTATATTAATAAAAAAAAAAGAAAAAAAAAACGAAATCATACCGAATCACTAATACTGAATAAAATGCCATATATATGTGCACGTTTTAAACTATTTCTATAATAAATAAAAATAAGAATATTTTTTTTTTAAATTTTTCTTTTTCTTTCTTGACACATACCTAAAAGGAAATTCAAGTAATTTACAATATTCATCACCAAAATGTTTTTCTTTTGTTAATTGTGCAACTGTTCGTATATTTGATATGGCTTCAACAGCAATCTATCATAGAAAATTCTTAATTCATGCTACAAAAATCTTGTCACAAAATTTTCACTTAATTTCATAGCTTCAAAAAGAAAGCGTTGATTTAGAGCTATACGTAGTCAGTTAGAATCTTTCTGAATATATATTGTAATTTGTAAGAGCAGTTTTTTTTATAGAAAAAACACTTAGATAAGATTTCCCTTATTCTAATAGCTCATTTTGTAAATATACAGTTATGAATTTTTTCTTTTTACAAAAAATACTAATAATTATTCAATTTTATCCGATTAGAAATTAGAAAAAAATTTTAATTCTAACTAATTACATTTGATTCTAATCAATTGTTTTTAATAATCGAAAAATAAGCGAATATTTTTTTTTCTATCAAGATTTTCGTATTATAGATTATTTCAATTCTTAGTTTTTTGTTTTTTTTTTGTTCTTTTAATTACTAACCTTTCCTGCATCTTCTAAAGCTTTTTTATCCTATAACATAAACAAATAGAATATTTTTATTTCAAATTTTTTCTTTTTTTAAACAAACTTTATTTGCAAATCCAGTCATTAAATACATTTGTAAAAATCCAGCAACAATCATAAATGGTACAAAAGCTAACATAAGTAATGTTAATGACCAACCATAAATAAATGCTAAAATTATTCCAACACCAAGATTTGCTATATTTTGTAACATTGTTCCAATTCGAATACCAGTTGCCTAAGAAAATACAAAAAAAGAGAAATTTTCTTTTTTTCAATACGAAAAAAAGAAAATCTTTACTCCTTGAACATCAGATGCTTCTGTTGCAAGACGTGTACATAAAGCACCTGTATTATTTTCTGGTCGATCAAAATAAGCAATATCTTGTTTTAATAATGTTTGAAAAATTTTTGCACGTAAACGTTGTGTTAATGTTTCACCCGATATTGCAAAAAGAAAATTCTAAAGAAGATTTTTAATTAATCATAAAATTTCATTTGATGATTTACTTGTAAAAATGTTGTAAATAATATAATTAAACCAATACTAATAAAAAAGAAAACATAAGTTAATACATGTTTTTCTTGTTGTTTCGGATCGCATTCTTCGAATACCTTTAAAAAATAAAATTTGTTTGTTTATTTATTTATTCTTTTTTTTTTGTTTTTTGAACAAAGAAATTTAACTTACTGCAATCATTTTACTTAAAATAACACCAAATGCTGGTTGAACACCTAAAACCAAAAAAAAATATCTAAATAAATAGAACAAAAAGAAAAACAAAAGATCATTCTAACCTCCATTACAAATACAAGCAAGACAAGCTAATATAATATAAAACCATTCGGGACTATTCATTCGAAGTACTGTTAAAAATGGTGAACGTCCAGAATACTAATAAATTAGAAAAACAAATATAAATATTTGATCTATTTAAAATAAGTATAAAGCATATGAATAGAACTAAGATTATTAGTTCTAATCATAAAGAGTCAGCATATAAAAGCAAAATTAATGTGAGATATCGACAATATTTTTATGTAAAATAAGCATAGAATATTAACAATAATAACATTTATTTTAATAATTACATGATCAAAAGAATGATCTTCTTGTTTAAGAAGTATAGCTGTCTTAAACAAAGAGAAAAAAAATTAATATAGTTATTACTAATAATAATTAAAGATGCTAATATTGAATTAATTTTAAAAATTGTGTTGAATATGTAGAAATACTTTTTTCCTCAAAAAAAAAGTAATTATATTGTGATCTCACTTAAATTTTTTTGTTTTACATTTCAGTTTATAATTATTTATTGACATGTATATTTAGTATCGTTTGTATTGTTTTTTTGGAACAAAAGATAACTCATTATTAAGTTTTATCAATGCTTATGAGTTTCATAGATGATTAGTTTTCTTTTTGCAAGAAACATTTGTGGATGTGTAATGTGTTTGTTTTATTATTTTCATACAATATTAAGTTATTGTAATAATTGTTTAGAAAATTTTATGTTTCAACTAGTATTTACCTCTTGAGATTCATTTATTTGTTCAGCTTTTTGACTTATTTGATCTTCTTCAATAGATTTGTTATGACAGGATTTATTGTGAACACTTATTCGTGTAGATTGGTTTAACTCATCATCATCAACTAAAATCAATTAAATATCATCAACTATTTTCTAGATATAAGTAACAAGAAAAGTTCCCTAACTGATTAATTGTTTTTGAGTCGAGAATGTTAACTTATTACTACCAAGATATTGCATTTGTACACTATTTTTTTCGAATCGAATTCGTGCTTTCCCTTAGGAACAATAGAAAAACTGATTTTGTATTTCGATTCGAAGTTTTTCACAGCGTTAGACTTTCATAGGAATAAAATATTATTAAAGCTTCTAGTCTTTTGACTTGTTCCTATCATGAACTTGGAATCCCAAATTTACAACTGTATATGAGCGATGTAAACGACATACTTTCACCATAATCGTATCTGAGAACAAAAACCAACAAAAGGGTGACTAACTGAACTTTTCCTGAGGAAGACGAAGACTGTGGTTCAAAAAAATACAGCACAATCAAAACAGCTCGGTAGCTATCACCTGACAGTCCGAACTCTTTTTACGGTATATAAAACTCATTAGTCTACATGATGCATATAGTTTTGACTCAAAAATGATTAATCAGTAAAGGAACATATTTCTCGTAAGTTCAATATAGATTTTCAAATAAGAAAGAAGTGAAATAACATATTTTTTCATACCAGATATATCGTCATCTTCATCATTTTCATCTGTTTTTCGATCTTTGTCATTCACATGTAAATTTTGTGCTTCAACAAGACCATAATAAACACCTCTTTCATCCATTAATGTTTTATGATTTCCTTAAAGAATCATGTTATTAAAATATTTATTTCATTTATTTAATACATTTACCTTCTTCAATTACTGATCCTTTATCAAGAACTACTATTTTTGATGCACTTACAATAGTTGATAAACGATGTGCAATTACAATTGTTGTACGTCCTTTCGATGCACGATCAAGAGCATCTTGTACAACACTTTCACTTTCTCTATCAAGAGCACTCTATAATAAAAATATGATAATATCAAATCTTCTAAACAATCAAATTCATTATTTCATTTGCTTCTTACTGTTGCTTCATCAAGTAAAAGAATACGAGGATTACGAATAAGTGCACGAGCAATAGCTATTAAATATTATTTAAAATGAACAAAAAACAAAAGGACTCATCTTTTTTTCACTAATCATCATACCTATTCGTTGTTTTTGACCCTAGACAACAACAAAAAAAACATAAATAGATTAAACAAACTAAATTCTTAAAAAAAATACAATATCATACTCCACTTAATTGTGCACCGCGTTCACCAACAAGTGTACCATATTTATCTGGTAATTCCATTATAAAATCATGTGCATTAGCCATTTTAGCTGCTTGTTCAACTTCATCTTGTGTTGCATTCATTTTTCCAAAAAGAATATTTTCTTTAATTGTTGTTTGAAATAAAATTGGTTCTTGTGATACAACACCAATATGTTCTCGAAGCCAACCAAGATTATATTGACTAACTTGCATGTCATCAATTTCAACTGAACCATCAATTGGATCATAAAATCTTTGTAATAATTGTACACATGTACTCTAAAGTAAATCAATGAGTTTTTTATTTTTTCTTAAGAATTTTATGTTAAATTGAATTATTTACTTTTCCACAACCAGAAGAACCGACAAGTGCTGTTGTTTGACCACTTTGTGCTGTAAATGAAAGTCCAATAAGAACAGGAACATCAGCTCGAGATGGATAAGAAAAATGAACATTAGTAAATTTTATATCACCAATCAAATCTTCTTTTTTAACACCATCAGGATGATTTATGGTGATTTTTGATGGCTAAATATAAGAGATAATCTTATTTGAAGTAAATTATTGTATGATTTTTACTGTATCAATAATATTCCATAATGTAAAAGCTGCGCCTCGAGCCTGTGCAACTGATTGAAGATGAGGAGCTGCTTGACCAAGACCAAACATTGCTGTAATAAGTGAGAAAAATACCTAAATAGAAATTAAACAGATAAAAGCATGGAACTATCCAATGATAGACTATATTACAATAAGAATTCCACCAATTGAAAAACCTTCATCACGAACAAGTTTAGCTCCATACCAAAATCCCTATCAAATAAGTCAACAGCTTAGAATATTGAATGAAAAATTGCTATACCAGAGCATATGTGCAAAAAATCAAACAAAAAATACCACCCATTAACATTCCATTTAATCCACCTTTACGAATACCACTTAGTTTTGCTGATCTTAGATGTTTTTCATATCTATGAAAAATACAACACTATATTTTAAATATTTATTAATTAATGATGATTTTGTTACCTTTTTGATTCATAAGTTGCACCATTGTATGCAAAAACAGTTCGTATACTACTTAAAACTTCTTCAGCAATAGCTCCAGCTTTTGCATATGCTTTCAATTCTTGTGATGTCATTGTTGCTGTTATCTACAAGGACATATCGAAATAAAATAAATAATGTTAATAGCTTCATTGCTTTTTTTTCTACTACGTACTCGTGTAAAAATAGCTGCACTAACAACAACTATTGGACCAAGAGAAAGTAGAACTAATGTTAATTTCCATCCTTTAATAAATCTAAATAAAAAAGAAAGTAGATAATATTAAATAAAATGTTTATATCTGAGAATTTAATTCGATATACCCTAGTATAATACCAGCAATAGATGAACCAATAAATTGTAATGCTGAACCAACTTTATCACCTGTACCATCGTGTACTTTATTAACATCTTCTGTTAATCTTGTACTAAGTTGACCAGTTTTATGTGTATCAAAATAAGCTATATCTTTATTAAGTATTGATCGAAAAAGTGTTTCACGAAGACGACGTGTTTGACGTTCACATGCAATAGACCAAAAAGTGACTTGAAAATATCCTATTACAATTATTGCACATCCCATAACTAAAATTAAGCAATAAACAAAATAAATTAATTAAACAAATATTTAAATAAATAGTATTATGATACTTACTAGCAAGCCACATAGATTGTTTGCGAATGTTTGTCATGAAATTATCATTTATTGGTGTAAAATTTTCTTGTGGAAAGTTACATTTTCTACGTATATCAAACCATATTATCATATAGATTAAAATAAAAATGACAATATAACATACTGATATTCGTTACGAAAATTTTTATTTGTAAGATGAATATTTTCAGGACAAAAGGAATTAAGTAGCGTAAAATTTACTTGGCATAGATCAAAGGATCGATCAGTAAATACATCTACTAAATTGCCGAAGACAAGTAACACTAAAAATAAGTATAAAATAGTATCTTGAAAAACATTTGAAATGAACTTTAATATCGAGCGGATACAGGAAAAGTGTGCATTTTTGGCGACCAATCAAGGAGGAAACGGCAGACTTGAAGTACATCAAAGTACTTTAAAATTATAGAAAAGTACTGTAAAGTAGCTCGAAGTATATTTAAATAGTGTAAATTATCTTCAAGTACAAAGTCTCCCGTTTCTCCCTTGCGACCAATACAGATGCCGGCCTAAGTAGATTGTACTGAACGGGTCGACCGATCGGTAATTGGTATCGATGCCATCACTCTGATGGGAACTTCTTCTCCTTGATTTGTAATGATAAAAATTTTCTTTCATGATAAAAATGATTGATCAAAATCATTTAAAAAATTTTTCTGCATAGTGATATGTTTGAAAAGTATTTCTTTTTTTTTGCATCAAAACTTACTTAGAGGAAATGCAGCCCCATGTGCCAAAGCTAAATAAAATATATGTTAAAGATGAATCAAAAACATCAACAGAAAAATATATGATCACAATATTTACCAGCAAATGTACCAATCATTATACAAAGAATATCGATTTTATTAGCAAAGCGAAACTAGAAAAAGTATAATTTATTAATATTGAAATTTAATAATATACAGAGTGTTCTGAAGTCTGTCGTCTGAAAAATATGAATAATTCTTAAATAATTTAAGTTATACATATGAGTTGTATATCATTTTATTCAATTTTCTTTATTAAAGTTTTGTTTCGCATAATTTCATTTGCGTTCGCTATTTAAAATGAAACTTGTAAATTCAATGTTTTCAATATTTTGAAAAATAAAAGATTCGACGAAATTTTCATGGAAATGATTGCATTCTTTTTCTTTTTCTAATTTAACTTTATTGTCGAAATATGAAAACACCTCATTTTCTTGAACTAATTACTAAGTTTTGTTATAATTCTGAATACAACTGAAACAACAATTCTAATAATTAGAACATTTTCTGTCTATACACTTTCACTAATAATATAAATTACATGAACTTCTTCTGTCATTATTAGAGGACATTCTGAATGTAGCTGATCTATTTAGATATTAGTCTCATAAAAGTGTTTAGAGATGTCTTTAATACTATTTTCATTCATGGTTTTCATGTCAAATTTAACTGGTATAGTCTGTTTTACAAGCGTAGGTGATTAAAATTCGAATATTAATAAAATTGTTTCGATTCTAATGTTTACAGGCATATGTATTTATGTTAAATAAAATTTACAGAAACATCAAAACGAAATTCTAGAAAATTCATATAAATCACTTTAACTGTTTCAGAGTTATGCATAGTTTTTTAGTTCGACAGACTTTTGGAACACTCTATATATATAATTAATGCATTGTCATACAAGACTCGCAAAGCTAACAAGTTCTGCAGAACTTTTTTTTTCTTTTTTAATTTTATTATCTTCATTTTTAAAAATTTCTTTGATTTTAAAACTAAAATTAAATATATAAAAATATAGATATAATACAAAAGAATATTTTTTTTTTATAAACATACCTGGAAGGTGATGCTTTAGCAGATCCATCATTGATAAGACTTGTTCGCATTTTATTAGGCATATTAACATCATCAATAAAATGTATTTGACGATGACTAATATCATAAGAACTTCTTCGACCCATTATTAAATCGAACTAAAAATATACAATTGAATAAATATTTTCCAATTATTAAGATGTATTTTTTTTAATGTTTTTTTAGAGCATCATTTGATAAGAAAACTCATGGCCCTTGTACACTTTAACGGGTCAAGCCATTTGATTAGTGACAGAACGAGCAAGAGAATGAGAGTAAGAAAGTTGATCGCAATCAGATGCTTTGGAGAGGTAAAGTGTAAACGTATCGATAAATTGCAATAAAGATAAAATGAAAATTAATTGTAAAAAATCACATGTTCTATAGGTCCCTGATTCTACTATATAGTGAAGAAAAATGAATGATGTAATGTAAGAACAGATAGAAATGAAGAAAAACAGTTTAATATTATCAATAGAACATATAAATTTAATCGATGTTCTTTTCATCAAACATTGATCGAAATCATCTTAAATATGAATTAAGAATTTTATTGGAATTATGAAGAATGTATTGACTACATTTATGAAAAGATTAACTTGATCATATTTTTATTCTATTTGTAATTATTTATTTGTTAGTTAATTCAATACAATGAAAGAAAAACAAATAATAGATAGATGAGAAAAGAAAATATTTGAATTGAATACTAATTCAAAATCAATAATAGAATGTTTACTTATAACAATATCAAACGTATGTAGACGCAACTACATTCTCTTTATTTTAATTCTATTTTCACTAATACTTATTTTTCATCTTTATTTAAAACAACGAATATGTTTCGAGAGTTACAATTGTTATAAATTTATTTGTTTTCTTTATTCTTAATATATAATTGGGTACAAGAATATAGAAAACAATGTTTTATGTATGATTCAGATTCTTTTCTTCATGTTATCCTCAGTTACTTTAGTTCAATGATTTTATTGGTACAGTGTAGTCATGTATGAATCATCGAATAATATCTGTATTCTACATAGGTTTAAATATTTAAGATAATAGGTCACTTTCTTTTATTATGATTCAAAGGAAATCCTAAACTTTTACAAAAAAGAAAAAATACTTACAAGAAAAAAAATAGCAATGAACTAGTAATTACTCTTATAATAATCTTAAGTCTCGTTCACAAAATTAACAAACAACAATCTATAAACATGACTAGAAAAAACGAGTAGAAAAAAAAGACGAAGGATCGTTCTTTTGTAAATGCTACAGATGGCGATCTTTACATCTTTTATTTTTCCTTTTCTTTTCTCCTCGTTTTTTCTAGTCATATATCTACACTGTTGTTTACTTGTTTGTTTTTTCTGAGAGAAATTTATTATTACTAGTCCATTGCTGATTTTCTTCTTGTTGTTATTTTTGTTCAAAATTCATAACAAATAAAGTCTACTACTGGTAGAGAATAATTGGAATATCAATGTTTATTAATACAAAAAAAAAATCAGCATAACGTAATTCTAGATTTGCATTATCAGCTACTATAATTATTTTCAATATTCAAGTTAAATCAATCCGAAGGCAAAAATCTAATTCAAACTAAAAATATATTGCATACAATAGTTAAACATTTATTTTGGTAAATTTTCAATATTGTTTTATTGTTAATTTTTGTATTTCAATCAAACATAGGGATTTGATGAGATCCTAAGAAAACAGTGCATGTCTCTGTTGGCATGCTTTATGTCAGTGAGTGAACTGTTATTTTCAAGAAAAAAAAAACTTATGATTCATACTCTAGTCTTACTTTTTATGGTTATTTTCAGCATATAAAAATAAACTCATAACTCATCATGTTCTTCCTTATATAGTTAGATTATTATGGTTGAGAAAAAAAAGGAAGACAACGATATCTTAATATTATTTTAAAAGTACATAGACTTTGCATTTATAATTACTATAATGTTGTATCGTGTCGAATTATCAATCCTTTTTATATCATATCAAGCATTCAATGATGAAAATATTATCATTACAACTGAATATAGACTTTTCATGTATCTATTTTTTCGTACTAAATTTCATCATCATCAAAAGTAAATTTGCATCATAGTTTAGAAAATTTCAGATCTAATGTTTTAATAGTCAATGTCGATTACAAAACTGAATACTTCAACTCGTAGTTTGATTAGGTATGTCCGTAATAACAGTCAGTGTACTACAGGTGGAAATATCGTTTCATCGAGACTTAATTATTTTTGATATCAATCCAATGAAATAAAAATTATCAGGTAAAATTTAAGGCCCCCCCCCCCCCCCTCAGAAATGAGTTTCCACTTTTAACGGTCCTTTCAACCTGAAATTTCCAGAGATGACTGATCTTGGAGAGATACGCTTCTGGTAAAAATTTCAGCTCGATTGGTCATACTAGACAGGACTTCCAGCTGATTCATGGGTCATTTTTGGCCTTCAGGAAAATTGGAATAACTCCATCACAAGAAGAGATAGAGAGCTCGGGCTGGTTTCAAATTAAAGTACGTGTCAGTATGCAACTTTTGTCCGAACGGAATTTTCATATTCCGTCCTATTGATTTTTTACGAGCATTTTAGTGCGAGGGTCTTAAAATTAGCATAAAAAATGGTAGTCCAACGACAGTAAATTCCACTTTTCTCAACCCAGGAACCAACTTTCAAAAATCCGTTCGGAAAAAAGTTTACTCTGATCGAGACCTTTAAAACAAAAAAAAAATATTGGCAATAGCTCGAAAAATGAGGGAGGAGATCCAATTTTTCTGATTGGAAATCATATTCTGAGAAAAGCCTTAAAGAAGTTTTAGAAGTGGTTTTCTTCGGTTAAATTCAAAAAATTCATATTAAAACGGCATATTTTCAATAAATTTTCTAAAACTATTTTAAGGCGCGTAAAAGATGCAGTAAAACTAACGCCATTTTACACGCTGGTTAATATTAAAATGTTTTATTCAATGATATTTGAAGTAGCAACGGGGTTTTTCCAAAACTGAAAAACTCTAAAAAACTACGAAAATTTCTTGGAAAATATGGGAGGGAGTTAAAGTCTGATCTGACGAGTCCTTGAAAAAACGATCATTTTCCAAAAATCTATATATATTCTGAAAGAGGAAGCGTCGCTCTATCTTCCTATAGTAAAAACTCAATTTCGATATTGTTTCGAAAAAATCGATTTTCTGAGGGGGGCCCTTAAGCGATCAGTATGCTAGAATATAATAAAAGCAGTAAATCAAATGATTGATCAAGAAACTGGATGATTGGTTAGTAAATAGAATGATTGATCAGCAAATGACTTCAATGATCAGTTGTTAATTAAATAAGTCTGTAAATATAACTAAATCACAATAAATAAAATATAAAGATGTTTATAGAAATTTCCATGTGTTATAGTATTATTTAAATAGATGAAATAAATATTGCAAAAGAAATAATCGAAGATATTGAAATATGTTAATTATCTAATTATATATAAGTGTATTTAAATTTGCGTCAAAATTAATTATGAAGAAATAGAATATGAAAAACAAAGAAGTAGATCAGTCAAAGTTAAATCTATTTTGCTAGTACGATAATTTCATTTTCCCTTTCCTCTTTTCTCACTTGTTCTTAGGATTCTATTAAATGTTCTTTCGGCTTTTTTTTTCTTATTTATTCAAATTTCTTTTTCTCATAGTATTGTACGTAACACAGTTCAACGTTCTTTTTTTTTCTTACTAATCAAATCTCTATATTGTACTACTCAAATTAGTATTTATTACTGAAATAAATTTTATATTTCACTGTTACTTATACCTAATAAACTGATCATTTTATTATTATTTACTGATTATTATAGTAGTGATCGTTTAATCTATTATACTGATCATATATGTTGTTTCCTAAATTATTTATATATACAATGAAAACCTTGCTGTTTTTTTTTTATTTTGTCCATTTTTTTTTAAACTAAATTATGTGTAGTGCATGAGGACTATCGTTTTCATTTCTATACAGAATTTGGAACAAATTTAATTTTTTTTAAATAACAATAGATTTCTCATTCTTTGTGATATATTGATAATTATAGTCCTTCTAAAAATTATAATATACAGTGGTTTAGTTGAAAAATTGTCTACATTCTTTTATTAATTTTCAACTTCTCGTCTGATGCATATATGTAAAGAATAAAATACTTATCTTATTGTTAATAATATTTTTTATCTAACAGACTACGGTCGTAGAAGTATTTTGTTCTCTATTCGTGTATACTGAAAAAATTTCATTATACAGTGCGTTAAAGTTGAATAGTGTCATGTATGCAAAAGACAACATAAGAATGTTGCTAATAAGTGAGATTCGAATTTAAAAAATATCTAAAATTTTTTATATATTTCTGTTAATTTCTTCCAGAGAGTTGATCAGAATATTCAAACTTGTCAAAGACAGAAGTACGATTAACGAAAAAATTACTTTTCTCATCATTTTTCCATGTGCTCTATGCATATTCTTTTCTTGTTTTCATAAAAATCCGATTCATTATTTTTTTGTTTATTCATAACTGTTACAGATAAAAATAAAAGCAAGCTAAAATTTTTGATTATAGAAATGTCTTTTTTTTTTATTTATGAATCCAATGTCAATGACGTGTTTGTGCTAAACGATAATAATATCCTTTGCGAGTTAATAATTCATCATGTTTGCCAGATTCAACTATATTACCACGACGAAGAACACAAATACGATCAGAATTTTGTATTGTTGATAAACGATGAGCTATAACAATAGTTGTACGACCTTTCGATACTTGATCAAGTGCTTCTTGTACTATACGTTCATTTTCTGTATCAAGTGCACTCTAAATCAAATTAGAAATCAAGCGAGATGTATATATATATATGAATATGTAGTGATTACTTACTGTTGCTTCATCAAGTAATAATACTTTTGGATTACGTATAAGTGCTCGAGCAATCGCTAAAACAAACATAAAATACAAATTTTATTCTTGTAAAAAAGTTTGATTTTGTTTTTTTTTACCAATCCGTTGTTTTTGACCACCTGATAATTGTGTCCCTTTTGAACCAACATTTGTTTC